ATTATTATAATTATTCCTAAATATACAAAGTAAAATTATATATTTTTCTGGGTCGGGTCGGATATTTTTCATCATAAACCCGAATCCGACCTGACTCGAACATCACCTTTAAAAAACTGACCTGAGCCAACCCGAACTCGTTTTTTTTAAAATCCGACCAGATTGGGTCGGAACCCGTCAGATTCTGGTCCCATGCCCATGCCCATCCCTACCAACAACACTATCAAAACCACTGTCGACGATCGTATTCATCGTTGAAAAATCACATTTCTTAATATACATTGTGATTATAAAGTATTATTTATTTAGATTCTTTTAAATATCGATAATATATAAATTTTAAAATTTTAAAAACAATGAAATTATTTTCAGATGAAAATTTTAAATTAAAATAATAAATAAATTAATTTCATAAAATTGATATATAGAAAATATTTTTTTTTTAAAAAACTTTACATTTTAAACTTCCGTTTTTTTCTTAAAAAGCAACCTTTTTAAATCGTAAAAGAACAAACAGCTAATAATAGTTCACTCTTGCTTATATATTCCCCTTAGTCACAGTGATTGTGCTCAGCTCGTGTCAACTGGTTCATTTGCCTGCACTCCATTACTTCACTTTCAAAAAGGTTCATTTTCGATCCGAGTTTTTGCATATAAATTATGATTTTGTTTTCTAATTCTTTTGTTCATATGGATATGATATTTGAAGATATCAGGTAAAATGCCGAAGAGTTATCCTACTGTAAGCGATGATTACAAGAAGGCCATTGAAAAGGCTAGGAGGAAGCTCAGAGGTCTCATCGCTGAGAAGAACTGTGATCCGATCATACTCCGTTTAGCTTAACCTCTCTCTCCGTCCTTTTGATCTGTCGTCTGGTTTAAATGTTTCGGTTGTGTTGATTGATCGGACGGTAATGGTGGTGGACAGGTGGCATTCGGCTGGAACTTTTGATTGTCAGACCAAGACTGGAGGTCCATTCGATACCTTGAAGCATGCTGCTGAGCTCGGACATAGCGCTAACAATGGTCTCGATATTGCAGTCAGGCTTCTCGAGCCGATCAAGGACCAGAGTTTCCTACAATCTCTTAAGCTGACTTTTATCAGGTATTTCACTTTTAAATCTAACTTTGCTTTCAGATTTTACTATTTCATGTTTCATTTTGAGCGGTCTTGGCCCATTTTTTTCCTGTTTATTTCTTTATTCATTTGCAGCTTGCCGGCGTCGTCGCTGTTGAGGTCACCGGTGGACCTGAAATTCCCTTCCATCCCGGAAGAGTGGTCAGTCATAATTTCGGCTTATTTTAACATACATTATTTGATGTTAATATAAATTAGTGTCTTATATTTTGCTTTAATTGAGAACAACTAATAATTTGGTTCATTTGCCTGCACTCCATTACTTCACTTTCAAAAAGGTTCATTTTCGATCCGAGTTTTTGCATATAAATTATGATTTTGTTTTCTAATTCTTTTGTTCATATGGATATGATATTTGAAGATATCAGGTAAAATGCCGAAGAGTTATCCTACTGTAAGCGATGATTACAAGAAGGCCATTGAAAAGGCTAGGAGGAAGCTCAGAGGTCTCATCGCTGAGAAGAACTGTGATCCGATCATACTCCGTTTAGCTTAACCTCTCTCTCCGTCCTTTTGATCTGTCGTCTGGTTTAAATGTTTCGGTTGTGTTGATTGATCGGACGGTAATGGTGGTGGACAGGTGGCATTCGGCTGGAACTTTTGATTGTCAGACCAAGACTGGAGGTCCATTCGGTACCTTGAAGCATGCTGCTGAGCTCGGACATAGCGCTAACAACGGTCTCGATATTGCAGTCAGGCTTCTCGAGCCGATCAAGGACCAGAGTTTCCTACAATCTCTTAAGCTGACTTTTATCAGGTATTTCACTTTTAAATCTAACTTTGCTTTCAGATTTTACTATTTCATGTTTCATTTTGAGCGGTCTTGGCCCATTTTTTTCCTGTTTATTTCTTTATTCATTTGCAGCTTGCCGGCGTCGTCGCTGTTGAGGTCACCGGTGGACCTGAAATTCCCTTCCATCCCGGAAGAGTGGTCAGTCATAATTTCGGCTTATTTTAACATACATTATTTGATGTTAATATAAATTAGTGTCTTATATTTTGCTTTAATTGAGAACAACTGATAAATGTATTTAGAAGGTTTTCCTCCACGTAAAATGGCTAAATATATAACAACAGTTGATCGGTTTTGTTTTGAGAAATAAAACTAAAAGTAAAATTTGATTGAGTTGTTGAAATGTTGGTATTCAACGCAGGACAAGACTGAACCACCGCCTGAGGGCCGTCTTCCTGATGCTAGCATGGGTTAGTGTGTACTAGTTGTTTTTCAATATCATATATAAGCACGTATATATTTTCAATTTTCTGTAGTTTTTCCATGTATTTTAAGGGTCAATGATTATGAGCATTGGGTTAATGTCTGTGGTGATTTTGATTAAAATCTTGTAGGAGCTGATCAATTGAGGCAGGTTTTCGTTACTCAAATGGGTCTTACCGATGAGGACATTGTTGCTCTTTCTGGTGGCCACATCCTGGTCAGTTTATACATTTTTAAATTCCCTTGGTTATCTTGAAGCCTGAGGTGTTATTTGCCGCTTATATCCACTTACTATGCTATATATTTTCTTTTCCTTTGATGCAGGGAAGGTGCAATAAGGAGAGGTCTGGATTCGAGTGACCATGGACTGCCAACCCTCTCATTTTTTACAACTCTTTCTTCAAGTGAGTTTCAATTTTCATTAGTTATGCACATTCAACTTTTGTTCACATTTATATTCTATGCTATTTTGTTTTTTAAAGTATCCATATTCAACATGCGTTTGCTTACAAATACAGAGAGATGATTTTTCAACAACTTACAATTTTTTTTTTAAAGAAAACCATGTTCGACACTTCCACCAAAATTCAAATAAATCATAATAATTACAATTTAAAGAACAGTCCATGGCAAATTGGATAAATATTTTGCAGGGAGCTCTTGGCTGGAAAGAAGGACAATCTCTTGCAGCCGCCAACTGACCAAGTTCTCCTGTCTGACCCAGTTTTCCGTCCCTTGGTTGAGAAATATGCCGCTGTATGCAACAATCTTTTGGTTTCAATTCAATGATCAGAAAGTTTTATATAATCCCGAGTTTTCTGTGTTGTTTTAATTTGGTTTTTTTTCACCTATTTGTAGGATGAGGATGTTTTCTTTACCGATTATGCTGATGCTCACGTGAGGCTCTCCGAGCTAGGGTAAGTCTCTCCTTTCGACTCTTCAGTTATGTTGTAATCTATAGCCTTTTGATTTTCTTTTTGGAGATTGATACACCTGAATTCAAGTAATGTACTTGACTTTAATATGCGAGTTTTTATGTTGCGGTGAAGATTTGGTGATGCATGAACATAAACGATTGGTTGCAAAGTAGGAAGAAGGCAACGACATTTACCAGATGTATGGGTTTTTTATAATCATATCGAAGCTAAATTACTAAGCAGATGTTGCCTGAAGGATTTTTGGGTGGTTTTGGTTTTTCTTTTCATTTTGGTTGAAAAGGAATCGGAGTGTTTTCCGAGGAGAGTAAGCTTTTTGTTAATAATATAGAATGCTCAGTTTGTTGTTAGTAATTCTTTTAAGTTTGCGTCCTTAAAAAAATATATTTCAGTTTTGGTCCCTCCAAAAAGAAATTCTAACCGCAGCTTGCCACTCCATTACGAGGCAATCACCCGAAATTGCTGCAAACAATTATTTGTGTGCTGATCATCTCCCAAGTCGGTCAAGCTGGACAGATGGTGCGTCAAACTGTGAAGCCACATCCGTTTTAATCAACCAGACTCGATCACGGTCGGCTAGGTTCAGCAAATCAACTAAAAAAGTACGGAGCGGTTAATCCTAAAATTCTAGATCAAGTTTTACTATGTTTAGTCTCCCTATTGGATGTGAATACTTCATCGCCGTGTGTGTTACCTGATGCCACCATTCATCCACAACTTTTTTCCTCGTGGAACAAGCCATGCTGTACATAATATTAAGTACGATAAGCCATCATGCGGGCACTATCAGTTAAACTAGATTTTTCCTTTTTGTACATATATTTTCAAGGATAAGTATACAAATGGTTCCCTATAAGTTTCCTAATCATTAAAAGTTATAAAATAATCATTGCCTATATAACATTGCTTTGTTAAGTCTCTTGACTATTAAAAGTTATAAAATAATAATTTTTCGTTGAAAAATTAACAATCGTATGAGCTAAACATTAACATTCTGACGGAGATATGACAGTCGTTTAAGATTATGAAATCAGATTTTGTCATATCTTAGTCAATATGTTAACGTCCAACTCAAATTACCATCAATTTTTTAATAGAGAAGATAGTTTTTTTATTGAAAAAAACTGATCAATTTGACTAACAACAACAACAGATCATTAAATTTGAAAATCTTACAATTTAAGGGGAAAAAACGCAGTCTTAATGCTTAAATTGTAACCTTGCTCATATTTATTGGACCAAACTGACGGGCAAAATCTCATTTTATATTGGATAAAAGAAGTCTAAAGGTTCGGACTTTAAATGAAAGCAACACCACACCAACAAAGTTTCGATCTTATCCTTTAGTTGAACCGATACACGCTAAGACAACTCATAAAATCCGAGTCAACTAGATCACTTTCTGCCACTAAACGACAGTGGATCAAGCACATATGGGATTGCCCTTCAACTACATGATTTGCATTAAGAAGGGGAAAAAAACAATTTCAATACAACAAACACGACCACTATGTACCCCACAAGACAAAACATTCATCATCAGATTCCTACCCCAACATGATAATGTAGAAACCGATTAAAAGTTAAAACAAAAAGGTGGAAATGAAAGAACAAAACACCCCCACTGGAACAGTGCACCTAACATATTTATAAGACGAGTCACATTGTATGCAATGTAAATCAGCTGCAGAATCATATGGGACCTTCCATGTTTTTATTGAAGCCCATACGCTAAACTTGCTAACTTCTACAGCTACCGACAAGCTTGGGAAAAAAATAACAATGTAAGAAAAAACAGTTTTAGCCAAGTGAAAGGGGTGTAAAGTAAGATATCTCCCTGAAAGTGCTCCTTAGGGCTGAGTTGATACTCAATAGGATGCACTTTCAGCCTTGAGGTTGTTACTAGAACCAGATTGAGGCATCTTGTTTCGGCATGCTGTCCATCCCCACTGCTTGTAGATCCTCATTGTAATCGATAGAAGCCAAATCAAACGGAGAGCCAAATATCAATTTGAAATTGTTGTTGGTTTCGAAGGGTGAATTCACAACCTTAAACAGGTCAAATTGTGCTTCCCCTTGCGGAAACATTTGATTATGATGGGGCATGTTCGACTCATCGAAGAAGTTCCCCTCCATCATGAGGCCTTGACCGCGGAAGAATTCATCCTGTTGCGGCTGGAATTTCGACTGAAGAAGAGTTTGACCTTCTATAACCGGATTTTTAATGGGATTCATGTTCTTGTTGCCTTGAACATTGTTATCGTATGTCGACATGAGCTCACTGATCATTTTCTGTCCATCTTCCGGAACTCTGACTCCTGATAGATCAAATGATGCCGACATAGAAGTAATAGACGGTGCAGACGGCTTTGGTTGTGCAAATGATTGAGGGATGATGACCGGTTTCACTTCATTTACGTTAAAATTTAGACCACCGAACTGAGCAGAGGAGTTCCTATGTGGACAAGTATTTTGATGGTTATCCCTAGCAGTCCGGTCATGAAAACCCAGTCGAAGTTCACTATATGGACACTGGAGGAACTCACAAGTGTAGATCTTGTGTTCGACGTTTATATCATTGGACGGTTTCCTCTTTCGCACCAAATCCAAATTAACAACTTCTCCCTTGAAAGGAAAAGTTGTTTGCTGGATGACCCTCATTCTATCCGTACCCAAGTTCGATGAATTCAGATTCACAGGTTTGCACTCTTGTATATCGAAGTTAGCCTCATCTTCAGCTCCCTCAACAGAAAATTCATTACAGTCATTTATAACCAAGGACCCACTTCCTCCACATGAGGACAAGGGTGGGCAGGAATCAGGGTAAAGCTCACGGGCCAACCTCTCCTCCTGGTTAACGATAGCGAGCCAAGTCGCACTTTCTTTTGCAGTCATCTTATCCTGCAAGCACTTAGATTGCTGTACAAGCTTGCGAATCTTGGCAATATTGGGAAACATATGCTTGATTATGGCCGTAAGAACCCCCACTTTCCAAGCCTTCTTCAAGTCATGAGGTTTCTTATAAGGAGAAGGGCCTTGATCTTTGGGCAATCCCAGTTGTGGCCACCATTCTTCGGTTCCAGTAGGCCACCATGGTGGGGGGACACCTTTCTCTAAAGGAAACCTCCTCTGAGGTGGATCACAGTGTTGCATTAGTGCAGACAAAAGAGAACCGAGAGTTGTATCTTGAAGTTCTTGCAAGGTATGTGGTGTCGGGCCAATTGAATTACAGCCATCAGTCTTGCCAGGAATAGAATTATCCTCCTGGTACTTGGCGATAGCAGCAGGACCATTACGATCAAACCTAACTTTATCTTTCCACCATTCTCGAAGATTGTCAGATGCCCCAGTTACCGGCTTTCCCTTTTCCGGAATAATCCCATAAACAAAACCTTGGGCCTTACAAACTTCCATCATCTTCAACATATACTTCAATATCCCATCCTGCGCCCTTGACATCTTCTTTCTCCTCGCCTGTTCTTGAGACTGGCGCTGTCTGGCTGTATCAATCCCTTCCTTACCCTTACTCTGGTCTTTAAGCCGTTTGAGTCGCATTTTGTCCCTCCACATCCTCCTCTCAAGTTCATCGACATCGATTTCTTCATCACTATAATCAACCTCCACCGCAGAATCTGCTTCGGCTTGTGAGGCGGCCGCAAGATCCTTTTCCCAAATGGGAGCACTGAAGAAATCCAGATCCCCACAAATCCCCATCTCATCAAACATCATTATTCCAGGATAGGACTCCTAATAAGCCCAGAAGTCCGGGGGAAATCTCCAAGTCAACCAATAAGGCAAGATAAGCTTCAAGTTATTCCAAGTATCTTTTAGAACTTAGAACTGATATAACTCAAATTCCCCAATAGCAAAGCACTCAATTAACCTGCATAAAAATAAATAAATAAATAAATGTTAACAGAAGCCCTGCAATGGATTCGAGTGACACGGTCTTGATTAGCAAGTAATATTAATTGATCAACTGCATGTATAAGAGGAAAGTATATAAAAATTTCTGATTCATAAATATTAAATTTATGAACCATCAGATACAAGTCAGATCTCCAGATGAACAGCTAAAAGAAAATTATAAAGAGAAACTGAAAAATAGAACTAGCTCAGGATGATTGGATCTGATTCAACCAGGATCTCAACTTTATCAATCATTATAAAAAATACATGATGCAAGAAGAACCCAAATTGATTTTTTTCAATTGACAATCAATGGTATGATGTTAACAAAATATATAAAAAAACTAAACCAAACAATCAAAACAACAACTTTATCAACCAGTAATCTAAAAAGCAATCTCTTTAAGAAATTTAGCTAAGAAAATCAAACCATGTAATCAAGACCTCAACTTTATCGACCGATATTATAATTAAAAAAAACAGAGAATCAAAAACTAAACTGAATCAATCAATAATTAAACTCCAATTCGGAAAATTTTAAAAAATAAAATAAAAAGAAGCATATCAGAAAACTAGTAGAAAAAAACTCAAAACCCAGTCCAAAAAGGCTTACCAGATAAGGGGAAAAGCAAGCCATTTAGGCAACACAGAGAAGACTTTTAGAGAGAGAGAGAGAGAGAGAGAGAGAGAGAGGAATAAAGATAATAATTGAAGAAATGGGGTTGGCTGCCTCCCTCCCCTGTTGGTGATTTTTAAAGGACGGAAAGTGGGAGAAACTATTGGGGATTTGAAAATAAAAATTCTAAAAATCAAAGTTTGGGGGAGAAGGGTCAGTGGATTAAATAGTGATGAAAAACGAAAAAGGAAAGTGAAGGGGCCGGGTTAATACAATCTAGTTATAGAGATAGACGTTTCTTTTATAATTAAGACAAAATAAAATTGTACAATGGGGACTGAATGCATTAAATCAAGGCAATTGGTCTTCATCCAATGTCTTCTTCCTTTATTCAAGGACTTTCTATTCATTCTTCTAAAATTCTGAAGTCCAACCTTAATTTTAAGTAATGAAACCATTTCAAGTAATATTAAAAATATGTTAAACGATAGAAATTAAGGAAGAAATGATACGTTTTCAAATAAAAAATCAATTAATTATATGATTATTATATTTGATAAACGAGTTAGATGTGGAAAATCGTGGGTCGACTGATTAGTTGGTAGTTTTCTTATTGTTTAGTGTTATCAATTCTTAACTTAATGATAATTATTTCATTTTTTATAAATCTTGTGTGAATATATGATAATATATTTAAAGATTCTTAATTATTTAATAATAAATATTTATATTTTTACATACGTGATATTCAAATTCAAGATCTAAAATAATAATAATAAATTATTTAACCATTTAATGGGTCGTGGAAAAGAAGTGCTTCGGCTAATCTTTGGCACTGGATTGAGGACGTTTCGATATCAAAACTTTGTGAGAAACATTTGCTGGGCTAATAATTTTGGGTAAGTATTGTAGTTTATTCAAGTTGTTATTTGCTTTTTCAACCAAGTCGAGATGATGGTAAAGCCCAAATGGTAACAGTAACACGTACGAGACCAAACGGCAGCATTTTATTGGCTCTAAACAAAATCTCCAACGCTCGGGTCTATCCTCAATCTTAAAAAACCCCAAAAATAAGCTCCCATTCCCAGAAAACTGAAATCAAGGCGGACCCATCGCACTTAATATTTTAAATTTTCAATAATACGCACAACACCTTAGCAAATTCCCTCCCTTCCGTCTCCATCCAGGTAATACATAAGATTACTTTGGTGTTTATTTGTTTTAATTTTACTTGCATTATAAAATTCCGAAATTTAACAGTCAAATTGGTTGCTTCAATAATTAATTTTAATCTATCATCTTAAGTTTATTTTTTTTATTGATTAATGAGATTTTAAAAAGCTTTTGGGTAAGCAAAACATTAACAGTCGCGACGGAAAAATTAGCTGGCGTGTTAACTGCTTACATGGACTGTGTTAACTTCCACGTTGGAGACCCAAAAGCCTTCAATGATCACCTTTTATCCTTAAAAAAACTCAAACTCTAAACTTAATTTAGGGTTTTTTCATTTCTATCACTATTCTTTAAAAAAAATCTGAAATTTGTAAGAGGAGAAATCATGTGAAGATGGAAGACTCAATTGATGTTCCACTTTGCAACTGTGGATGTCCAACTAAGGTTTTTTTTTTTTAATTTTCTGTCAAACACAAGAGAAACTTACCATAAAACATAGCGTTGTCCCCCAAATGTAACCTCTATATAAATACGATGGTTTTTCTTTGCTCGTTTTTCTCACTATTATTTCTATCGGATGAATGAAAAAAATAAGAAATCATTTACCTTTTCTCTCCGATTAATGAAAGAAGAATAAATCGTTTTTCTCACTATTTTTCCCCTCAGACGAATTGAAGAAGAAGAAATGTGTTTATGGAAGAAGAAGAAATGAGTTTATGGAAGAAGAATAATAGTAAATGAAACCCTTGATCCCTTTATTAATTAGGTTAAACTACATAATTGATCACTAATGTTTTAGTAAGTTTTCGTTTTCCCCACTGAAGTTTAAAAAATGTGGCGGTCAACCCAATCCAAGTAAGCAGTTAACGCGCCAGCAGTTTTTTCCGTCACGCCTGATAACATCTATTAATGTCGAGTGACCAATTTGTAACAAACCATAATGTTAGTGACCGATTTGTGAATTTTAAAACATTAGTGGTGAAAACGAAAACGTACTCAAATATTAGTGACCATTTGCATAGTTTACCCTTCGTAAATTTATAAGTTAGTGTTCAACAGCTTCCAAAAAACTGCCATGTTTATAGTTAGGCTTTGTTGGCTGAAAGACAACTGAGTTGGTGTTGATTAGGTTAATTCTACTTAAGTTAAAGCATAGTTGAAATAGTTGGCACGGCAGTACAAGGTTATGTCTAACAAATGATAAGTTGTTATTCAAATTTACCATGAAATGTAATGATATTTGCAGGCGTTTCTTCATTATCAAGCTCCACAAATAGGTATCATGCAAGCAACATTGCCTTAAACCCTACGTAGCGAGAATTCATGCGCCAAAATTGGTATACGGGTACTGGACATGGTACACAAGGAAAATGAAGAGTAAAAATAAAGAATTGTTCTATGATTTCTCAATATGAGCTAGAAGAAAGAACACTGAAGTTTATGCTAGAGTTTCCAAAGAATGCCTTTGGTCATCATCATGTTATAATGATGAATTCAGATTGCATGATTTTGGAATAACTTCTCAGCGTTAGATATCAGCAAGCTTCAGTTTGATTCATCGAGAGATTTATGATTTCCTTTAATGGGAACACATGTGTAGTTCTTCCGGAGCTGTAAATAGAATTTACGATATCAAAGGCAGCAAGCTTACCAGTCCTCTTGCAATCTGCGTGGGGGAAGTTTCAGACATAAAGCACTTCATTGTCACCAGCCATTTACCTGATTGCTCACTCGACTCTCTCCAACTTCATTAGGATCTTGGTTCCGGAAGTGCATTGGCTCTTACTAGTGCCATCCTCAGTGGGCAACCTTGTAGTGTGAGCATCATGGATTTTAAGAACCTTTGGGCACACTGTGCATATGTTTACGATGGTGGTAAAAAAGAAGAAGAAAAGAACTGGAAACTCAATGGATTATTGATTGTCAAATCATCTAAATTAAGCTCAAAACAACCTCTGATGAAAATATCCGCAAATGGTCCAAAACCTTGTGCTTCAACAAAACTAAAAATTAAAAACGAAGAAGAAGACGATCTTTCTCACTCAAGAGGAACATCAACATCACCATCGTCAATTTCCTGCTGTAAATCCTTGGGATCTTTACCATCAACGGTACACCCAATGGAAACACACGTACCCAGAATTTCCTTCACCGTCCCTTTCAAATCCTTGGCCATAGACCTCAGTCTCATTACCTTGGCATCTCAATGACGTCATCGAGGCTAATTTTGTCATTATGCTTGATGTTCTTGGTTTTCTTCCTGTTCCTCTCCGGTTCCTTCAACGCCTTAATTACAAGCGCCGCCGCGGAATGAACCACCGTGACCTTCGCCTGACGGTTCTGTACAGTGAGCTTGACGGTGACACGGAGACCTTTCCAGTCCTTGGCGGTTTCTTTGGCGATATCTTCACCAATCTTCTTTGGAGAGAGACCGAGCGGACCGATATTTGGAGCAAGGGGCACCGACTTCACCACCGGTAACGCGGATGAAGACGTCGACGACTTGGGTCGGGTCGAACTGTTGGAAATAAAACACTCACACAAACAACTTTTATTGAAACTCAAACAAATATTACAAGAGCACTCTCACTCAAAAATAAGAACTACAACTTACTCTTATAGGACTTTGCTTCTTCACTCACTTAGAAGCTCTTAATTTTTCTTGATGCTTAAAACTAAAATGGGGAGAGGTATTTATACTACTCAAGAATAATCCTACACCACACAAATAAACTAATTTAAACCATTACAAATTCAACAAATACCTAACTCTCACCTAACTAAATTGATGTAAGCAATGACATCATTATTTAAATGATGTAAGCAATGACATCTTTACTTAAATGATATAAGCAATGACTTCAATTTAGTTTGGGTTTGGGTTTAGGCTCCCATAATGGATCAAGTTTATGATCCAACACCCCCTTTAAACTTGATCTTGTGACCCCTAGTAAGTTCCTTAATCTTATGAAGTCTTCACTTTTCAGTGGCTTGGTAAAAATATCAGCAACTTGATCTTGTGACTTCACGTATTCAACTTCCACATCATTTCTTGCAACACACTCCCTTATATAGTGGTAGCGAATGTCGATGTGCTTGCTTCGATCATGGAATACTGGATTCTTTGATAAGGCAATGGCTGATTTGTTATCGACACAAACCTTGGTAGGATCTTCTTGTATCAAACATATCTCATTCAATAGATTTCCAAGCCAAATTGTATGACAAACACATGAGGTAGCAGCAACATATTTCGCTTCACAAGTGGACAATGTGATAATTGGTTGTTTCTTTGACATCCATGTGAACGCAATATCTCCCATGAAAAATACGAATCCAGTAGTGCTCCTTCGATTATCTATGTCTCCACCCCAATCACTGTCGCTATATCCAACAAGCTTGTAATCGTTAGAAACTGAATAGAACAAGCCAAAGTCAATTGTACCTTTCAGATAGCGAAGAATTCTCTTTGTGGCTTTAAAATGGGTGGTTGTTGGAGATTTCATATAGCGACTAACCAATCCAACTGCGTGAAGAATATCGGGTCTCGTGCAAGTTAGATAGCGTAGACTTCCTACCAAACTTTTGAAGAATGTTGGATCTACACTTTCACCTTCTTCATGTTTGGTCATCTTGATCCTGTATTCTGCCGGTGTGCTTATTGGCTTACAGTTCTTCATCTTGAACTTCTTCAATATCTCCTTTGCATCCTGTGAAATGAAAATTCCATCATAGAGACACACGATCAAAATATCTTCATCTTTGATCTTGATATATAGAGCATGCTCGTAGGGACATTTGTTGAAGCCATTCTATTGGAAGTACTTGTCGATTCGGCTATTCCATGCCATTGGTGCTTGTTTTAGCCCGTAAAGAGCCTTATTCAACTTCAACACATTGTCTTCGTGCCCTTTGACTTCATAGCCTGATGGTTGCTGAAT